CCACCATGTTTAAAACGCCATCAATTTTAAATTGCTGAAATAAGAATCCCAATGCAAAGTCCGGTAAAATCCTTCAACAATCTCTTTTTAAACAAAACAACGTGTTCTGTGATGTCCCCAGAAATCTCTAGCTCATCAATAAGGTAGGTTCATTGTTAATGTATTTAAACTAATTTACTTTAATTCAACCAAATAATTATTAGTAGCCGTACCATTACTACATTATTGTCATTTGAAATGACTATTAACGTCCTCACAAAATTTGAATGTGATCTCGCCTCTCACGTGCCGTCAGCTGCCAATTCAACTTAAAGTGCTTAGAACAACTGTGAGCGTGGTTTTTATAATTAATAAGAAATTTGAAATGGTATGTTCACAGTGTGGACAAATGTTTTTCAAAACGATTCAACGATTTAAGCTGTTATTATTACAATTAGTATTACTATTTTTGTTGTTATCGCTAAATGGTTAACAAAACAAGGTTAACGTGTGCGTCTAGATATACAATCTGACAGTGGCTTTAATTCTCTGAGAGGAAGGTAGCCACCACTAACTTATGGTCGATAAACCAGCTTTATGAACACCTTCAGAGACCGTAGCAGGACCTCCATATGATCCTGCAAGGCGAGGAACCGAGAGTGCCGAAGATGCGCTCCGAGATCACATGCTCACAGCGCTCATTCAGCCAGAGGGGAAAACGTGTCTTGTCATATTTTGATTCGTAACTTGCACCCAACGCATGGATTCGGACAGCTGACGGCTCCAGATGCGCGCCGAACACGCAGCACAAGCTCATTAGTTTCTCAAGAATGTTGAGCCAGTGTAAAAAGCCTTCATCAGCTTGCAAAAGTTCAGCATTTAATAATAACAGCGACTGCCGAAAAGCATATGTTAAACTTGCCGACCGTACTGTGGAGGGGGACAACAGTGACACTTTTTGTATAGACATTTATAGAAACGATGTTGTTCAAAAAAACTTGAGATGAATATCAGTCAACAACTTCTTGAACCCATATTCAAAACTAGAGTGTGATGACTGAATGTTTTAAAAATAAAAACCATGTAAGATAGATTTTATAAAAAGTAATACTTGCACGGTTGTTTCCAAAGTCAATAATGAAATTAGTGTCTTACCTCACCTCTTTTCTGGTTTGAGAATGCACTGAGTTCTTCGAAAAGTTAATTCAATATTCCGAGTTAAATGAAATGCAATTAAACAGTGGCTGTAATGCACGTGCGTTTCTTGTAAGTTAACAAAATGTCACTTCGTGTTACTATCGCGGTGGTCACGAAACACGTCAATTAAATGTTGACAAGGACAAAATAAACTGAAATTGTGTTCAAAATGTATGGAAGACAGTCAAGGGGAAAGCGAGAAGGAAACCCCTTACCTGCAAGTCCAGCGTTTCCCGTCACACCACAAGTATTTATGAGGACGAAAAACAAACAAAAGTCCCAGCAAAAATAAGTACTCTCCATGTTAAAAGCGGCGTTTCAATGCACTGTTTGTGGCCGTGTTTCTTTGATAAAGACAACCGTTTTCGCTACAGCCTGCGAGACCGAACGGCGAGACTGAAGAGCCGCACCAGGCGCGCTGATTGGCTTGCGCACAAGGAGGTAGGAGGTGTAGGGGAGAGAGGGCATTGAGAGGGAGAGAGAGAGAAAAAGAGGGGGATAGTCTTATTGATTAGCAAAGGGTGAAACCGATGTTTCTTTTCGATCCTGCAATTAAAACAACGAATCAGAATGTATCATTCGCTTCCCGTGCTCATGCAGCTGCTCAAGTCATCGGTGTGTGACAATGATAAATAATTTTTTTTCAGCGGACCTTAAATTGGTCATCTAGCTTTGCCCAGATGCGGCACTTTTCTGCTGTTTGGTTTGTTTGCTTTGATCCTTGTTTTACAGGTCTTTGGATATTAATTGTTTTGTAGTGTAGATTGTGGGCTATGTGTTGTTATGGTCTAATATTTTGCTTGTGAAAGTACAGTATCATTGATTTTTCACAAGACAAAACAATCAATTTAGCTGTCGAATACTGTAACCCCTATCCATACATTTTTAGAAATCAAGTAATTTGACTGCAATTAGTATTATGAGTGGGCCAAATACAGTGTCCTTTTGGACTGTAGCACGAAATTATTACCGTCTTTGGACAAAAAAATACATCTTTACTTTTGTCTTTTTTGGGTTGAAAGTTGACCCTTAAAGTTAAAGCTTCGAAACAAACTAAATAAATCGTTTTGCAGTCAACCTACATGTATTAACATTCTGTTGCAGTAAACTTCATGTAACGACGATGCCCTCTCCTGGTATAAATTGGCAAAGGGCTTTGGCAACGACACGGACCCTCTCAATTCATGCGGTGTTACAGCAGAGCGCTCTAAACGCGGGCGATGAGTTAGATGGAGAGAATTGAGAGAGATTCAGGACTCCTTCGAGCAGAGCCGGGGTTGGAGTTCGGTTGGAAGACAGGCCGAGATGAAGAAGAGATGCAGACATACAGAGAGGAAAAAAGAGAGAGGCTATAGGAAGAAAGGAGGGATGAGGTAGCAGCGCAAGAGGGGGATGAAGATAAGGGTCAATAGACAGGATAGAGCGGGTAATAAGCGATGGAAACGGAAAACAACAGATAGCGAGAGATTAATTGCTGTCATAAAACATCTTAGGCTGCGCTTGTGTCATGGTAGGTGAGAGAGGGAAGATAGAGCTGGATTGTTACACTAACGCATCTAATATGCACTGTGTGCATCTAAACACTTCCTGCTTCGTTTGGCTCGTCAGAAGGTTTGTGTGTCATATTGTATTCGTAGACACTGTAATTTTAAGTTCCGATTGGAAGTAATGACCACTCCCACGGGCGGTGACATAAGAGAATCCATTTATTTGTTTCGTTCCTTCGTTGTTTGAGCAGTCCCACCCTTGTTCCCTTCCAAGAGGGAACTAATGACAGTTTTTCATCAGCAAAATATGGACGGGATAGATGTCTGAATGTTGCCTTGTTTTGCGCTCTGCAAACAAAAGATTGCTCAAAGGTTTCGAAACAGAAGAGAAGCTCTGTGAAACAATGCGCAGACCACTGACGTATGTGGTCATCTAACTGTAAGAAGTAAAATTTGGAAGCCGCTCTGGGTAAGAGCGTCTGCTAAATGATGTAATGTGATGCAACGTAATGTAGTACGTTTGATGAATACATGACGGCAGCCGGGTCCAACTCTACACGCCCGTCTCCTGCTGAAATACTGGACTGGTGACAGTGCCCTGCCTCCTTTTAAGTATCCAATCGCTATCCAATCGCTGTACAACAGGGCGGGGTTTGTGGGTGTCATGGCGTCTTACATGAGAGGGTCTCGGTCTAACGCTAAATAGCGATTAAAAGCAGCTAGCTTTATCACCAGCGCTGCAGCTACTCATCTTGTAATCATTCTCGAAGGGACATATTATTGCAAACTGAGAAACCGTCATGGGGACTGTCCACGCCAGGGTAAGGACATTTGCTCAAATCGGAAAAGGGTGAAAACGTTGTGCATGACCTCTGATCGCTTTCACTCTGTGGAGTGTAGTAGGCCGTATGGGACGGACGCGCGATAAATTTAGAATGTCAAGAACAGCTAATATAGCCAGCTTCATCTGAATTTGCTAAGTAGCAAACTGAGCTGAGCAAGATTAGAAATGCATTTTGCATTAAACGTTATTTTAAAATTCCGTGGCCATGTGCGGACAATTCTTTGTAGCTATGGATCGATAGCTAACTAGTTTGCTCATTCTGGGGTAAATAACTATGCACTTCGGCTATATAGCTCTGAATGAATGCTTAACCTTCACTTGGTGTCATGTGCAGTGGCAGAATTATATATTAAACGATGCTTGATCATAACGGAGTGCATTCGTGATATCATTGCATCAGTCAAGCAAGGTATCAACATAGCCATTCAACTGTCTGCACACCAGAATGTATGTCACTTGCTACTGTTGACAGCTTGCGTGCTTGTTGGCTAGTAATTTATGGAGCTATGTAGTTAATACGTTGCATGCTGCCTTTTTTGTTCTTGTGACTATTCAGAGTCTTGATCCCCTCCCGATGCAAGGACCCGACCTTGGGGTTCAGGCCGATGAGGTAGACATGGTGGAGGTGGAGCCTGAGGCAAAACAGGAAGTTCTTGAAAACAAAGACGTGAGTATTTTGCTAAATGTGATGCGGTTGTAATGCATCTCGTACAGAAAATTACGTTTTTGTACTGCTTCGGGCATATCGGTTCAGATGGACCACAGCAAGAGACATGTAGCTACAGGTGTGACAGATTTAACATCTGTGTATGACTCTAAATTTTGAAGCAACCGCCTCGTAGTAGGTACTGGAATCTTAGTAGTAAGTATCTTATTAAAGACCTTAACAGGTCGAATGTGCATGTGTCTGTAATTCAAATCATTTTTTGTTGTTCAGGTTGTAGTCCAGCGCGTACATATAGATGGACTGGGGAGAACTAAAGAGGATATTCTGGGATATGAAATTGCAGATGTCTTTGCTGCCAAAAACCTTATCGATGTAAGTTGCTGTCGTCTCTGAAAGAAACAGATGTTTGGTTCAATTTATGTTCACCCCATACAATGAAAACACTATGTTAATTACTGAAATCTGATATAAAGACAGTATACTGTGACAGATCAGAGATGGAAATCGCACTCATACCATTTCAGGTTCTACTCAGTGGAAAGGTACCAGTAAGCAAATTATATTCAGTACATTGATCTGCTTCTAGCAGAACCTGAATATCTGAAACTTTGTACTCAGAGCACTATTTCCATCTCTGCAAATTACAGAACGTGCAAGATTGGTTCTTTCTTTGGTGACACATTACATTACATTACTGTCATTTAGCAGACGCACTTATCCAGAGTGACTTACATTGGATAACATGTAAAACTGTGACTATGTATACAGCTGGACATTTACTGAGGCGATGCTGGGTTAAGTACCTTGCACAGGGGTACAGCAACAGTGTCCTAGAGAGGAATTGAACCAGCAACTATATGGTTAGGAGCCCTGCTCCTTAACCACTGTGCTACACTGCCACCGACACATTAGATCAAGATCAGTCTGTGTACAAGCTTACCGCATCACCTTTGCTGCAGGTGATGAAAAAATCCCATGACGCCAGACTGAAACTCCTGCGCCTGGGCATCTTCAAACAGGTGGAAGTCATGATCGACACCTCACAAGGTACCGCCGTGCATTATGGTCATTCATCTAGTGGATGTGAATAGCTGTACATTTGACTTGCCTGGCCAGACAGCATAGAGCCAACCATACACCAAGAGAGGTTGTGTCTGCCAGAGATACATTTTCCCCCTGGTAATCTAAAGTAAGACTTCACAGGGGTTGGGTAGGCTTTGTGTGGACATGCAGCCAATCAGTGCAGAGGTTATAAAAACACAACTGTAAAACTAGCTGCATACCAGCCAGTCCCAATATGGAGCATCGGTGTGGATGCTGCATGTCATCCACCGAGATTCCTTTGATGGTATTAGCCCTGAGCTGCCCACCTCCTGGAGACAGCATTCATCTGTAGTTTAATGATGAGATTGCCAGGTTTGCTGTGGGTCATTGCAGCTGTGACGGACAGCACTTTTCCATCACAGGAGGGGACGCTCTGCCCAACGGGCTCGATGTCACGTTTGAAGTGACAGAACTGAGAAGGATGACCGGGAGCTACAACACAATGGTCGGCAATAATGAAGGGAGCATGGTAAGAGTTAACACCTTAATGAGCACTTTTCAACCTACTGGAGATGCATGTCGATTTCTGTGTCCCAGCAACACTCGGTTCTGTCTTGGCACAGAGGTCAGCTGACACAGGTATGTGTGTGTGGTTTACCCCTTTCCACAGGTACTGGGCCTTAAGCTGCCAAACTTTCTAGGTCGTGCAGAAAAGGTCACCTTCCAGTTCTCGTACGGCACCAAAGAGACCTCATACGGACTGTCCTTCTTCAAACCTCAGCCTGGAAACTTTGATCGCAAGTATGTCAGTAGCCACTAAATGCTGCATCTCTACTGAATGTATAGATAAGCACTTAGACTAATGGTCTCAAATTAAGAGTTCCTCTGCTCTGTTTTATACAGCCAGAGCTCAGATAAAACAGGAAAAACTGGCAAATGTTTCACTCTTTTTTCACCACTGCCATGATTCAGCAGTGCTTCATATTTCTGTACTTCCGAAGGTCAATGTTGTGTGCTTGATCGTTGACTCATATGATGCAATCACTACATCTGCCATTGACATTTGAGGTTTTCTGTTACAGCTTCTCTGTAAACCTGTACAAAGTCACAGGACAGTTCCCCTGGAGCTCACTGAGAGAGACGGACCGCGGCGTCTCCACAGAATTCAGCGTGAGGATGCTTAGATATCTGCTTATTGTGGTTGATGGCAACATTATCCGTTATTAAGCCATTGCCGTTAATTTCCTGGATGCCTCTGCCTCATCTTGTTCAGCGATGTGAGATCATTAGTGTTGAGATGAATGAGTCACGCTGTCCCACTGTCTCCTGCAGTTCCCCTTCTGGAAGACGCACCACACCCTGAAGTGGGAGGGGGTTTGGAGGGAGCTGGGTTGCCTGGCACGCACCGCCTCCTTCGCCGTCCGAGAGGAGAGCGGCCACTCCCTCAAGTCCTCGCTCTCGGTACCGTGCTGCTCTTTCTTCCTCTGACCGCCTTTCTCTCAGCACAGCATCCCACAATCTGTCTCTCCAAGCGCTCCTTTTTACAAACGCTTCCTGTCTGACAGATTACAAACTCTTAGCCAAGTCTGCCAAGTTTTCACACTCTGCCTGGTCATTGGTGAAAACGTTTTTTGTTTTTGAGAATTTAGATCACTGTCTCAGTGGTAAAGGCACTTCTTATTAGTGTTAAGGTGTGCCAGTTGGTGAGGATGTATGTTCCTGCACATCGGCATCATGGTTATCTTTTTTCCCCAGCATGCCATGGTCATTGACACCAGAAACTCTACTATCCTTCCCAGGAAAGGTGCCTTACTGAAGATCAACCAGGTGTGTTGGGGGGGGGTCTCCTTTCTTCAGATAATTAAATGTTCCGTGATACAAGCCACAGGGTGAACATCTGACCTGACTGATGTTCTTTTTGGTCCACAGGAGCTTGCTGGGTATACGGGGGGAGACGCCAGCTTCCTGAAGGAGGACTTTGAGATCCAGCTGAACAGGCGTCTCTTCTGGGATTCAGTGAGTGAACTCTTTACGGTCAAAAAACCAAACTCCATTCTGGTTTCTGGCTGAAAGTGGTTATAGACAGGCTTAGATGGAGGCAGCTGCGATAATCAGTGGTTGGTGGTGAAATGCATGTCTTCTGTTCTCTCATTTTGGAACATGTACTTAGTTCACCTCTGAAAGTCTGTCTGTATGCCTCTCTCAGGTTCTCTCTGCCTCCCTGTGGGGGGGCATGCTCCTGCCCATTGGAGACAAGCCCTCCAGCATTGCTGATAGGTGGGTCCTGCCTGCACGGCCGTGTTCACAGAATTTGCAGCATAGATTTACAATAAAGGATTTTTCACTGGGCCAGAATCCTGTCACATAGAATCTCAGAGAGGTCCCGTTTGTGAATGCCTCTGCAAGTAACATCATAGGTACGCTAGATTCTGATTGTGAATGGAATCACATGGACTTTGGATTCTGATTGTGAATGAAATCCTGTGAAATGCTTCTCAGGTTCTATCTGGGTGGCCCCACCAGTGTGAGGGGTTTCAGTATGTACAGCATCGGACCTCAGAGTGAAGGTGAGGTTTCATACTCTCACATTCTCAAAAGCTGTCAAAACTTTGCATTCTGCATAGGAGTAGTTCAATGGGGAGAAAGTAGTATTAAGGAGCAGGTCTTGTAGTCTAGTAGGAAGGAGCAGGCTGCTAGCTCAATTCCTATGTCTGCCCTGTTGTTGTACTCTTGAGCAAGCTACAAAAACTGAATTGCTTTAGTAGAGTACCCAGGAATGATATAGAAACTATGCAGGTCACTCTGTGTAATGGTGGCTGACTGTCTGCTAAGCAAATTATTTAAAGAAACTGCAGAACATTTGGTCTTCGAATGAAGGACTCAAATTAACAGTTGTCAGTGTCAGTGAAATTCATACCTCTGAGGGTCTGCCTTTGTTGTGCCAGGTGACTACTTGGGAGGGGAGGCGTACTGGGCTGGAGGGCTCCACCTGTACACCCCTCTCCCCTTCCGTCCAGGGCGAGGGGGGTTCGGGGACCTCTTCAGGACACACTTCTTCCTCAATGCTGGCAACCTGTGCAACCTCAACTACGGTGGGTACCGAAGAGGGAGGGGGGACAGTCTCCGCGTGACATGCATGAGATGCTTCTGATGTCACATCATCACATGCTGTGATTGATGTCAAGGGTTTTTTGTGCTCAACATCAACACTGTGGAGCCACTCCAGATTAATGACACACACGCATGCACACACAAACACAAACACAAACATCCTGTAAGTGAATACAGTGGGCATGTGTAGCAGAGCTGAAGTAGTAGCCCGTGTGAGCCCTGCGTAAAAGCCTTAGGTAGCGGGTAGCAGGTAGCCAAGCAGTAGAAGCGGTTACGTCACTCCCTGAGAGACCTGGTTAAGTAGCGTTGTTGCCGACAGGCTAACGGCAATTTGCCTTTAGCTCAATTGGCAACGACGCTGGCCGTAAGGGGTTGGCAGCGAGCAGTGAGAACCTCAGTTCGAAACTCACTCGCTCGCTGACCCCCGTACCATCTAATTAAAAAACACAACGCAAGATCCCACCTGTTACACATGCGTCTCTGAAAGGCATTGGCATAAACGGTGAATAACTGTTTGTGCGTTTGTGCCCTCTGCTCTGACCCCCCCGTCTCTGCAGGTGAGGGGCCGAGGGCTCACCTGCAGAAGCTGGCGGAGTGCATCCGCTGGTCGTACGGGGCGGGCATCGTGCTGCGCCTCGGGAACATCGCCCGGCTGGAGCTCAACTACTGCATTCCCATGGGCGTCCAGAGCGGAGACAGGTACTGCACCGCTCGCTTTGCCTTAGCCCACAGATGCATACCTGTGACACAGGCCTCCACCTGTAGGGGGCAGTGTGGCTCACCAAAGCAGGGCAGGACATGCTGAGATCAAACGCACTCGGTTACATATCGGGTTTAGCAAGCAGGAAGATACTTGTCTTTGCAAGTACCTTTGTAAACACGGGTGTCCTGTTGAGAAGTTGCAATAATGTCATTTGTTTGTGTAAAAGCTGATTTCTCGTAGTCAATCCCTGATGAAACTTTGTTGACTGAAATGTTTGTCACATAAACATGAATATTCTCTGGTTGGATTCATTTTCTTTTCCTGCCTTTCTCCAGGATATGTGATGGTGTTCAGTTTGGAGCAGGAATTCGGTTCCTGTGATGTCATCACCTCCCCAGGCCCTGAAGCAGAGCATTGTGGGAAGATGAGGTTTTTGGCACTCACCTCTTCTATTGAGTGTAACACTCCCAGAGGGGCTCAAAGCACACCTGGCCCACAGGGGACACACACAGTCCTTGAGGTCTTGACCCAGATCCACCTGTTTATGTCATCTGTACAAGTCGTTCACTTTTTATGTTCAGTCCATTACATTACATGCGTTTAGTAGACGCTCTTATTCAGAGCAACTATGTTAAATGAGCAACAGTGTCAGAACACACTCCCAGACCAGTTAGTGAGAGTAACACCATTCAAGCCCTACCACAAGCGAACTTGTACAACCTGACAAGGCAAATCCAATCAGAGAATGATGCAGAGGCTTTTCATTCCAGCAAGGTTACGTAAGACTAAGGCTAACCCCAACAATTATGTGGAAAAAGCTGGAAATGATTCAAAGTCAGAGTTGGGGGTGCGGAAACAATCGACACCTGGACCCCCTCTCCCAAGGACTGCAGCCCCTGTGGGCTAGTGGTGGAAACCCCGAGTGCAATCCACCATCAGTGCTCTTATACGTCATATTTAAATATTGTCTGAATGCACAGAAATAAATTGTTACCCTTGACCTTGTGTGTTCAGCTGATCAGTGATTGGCTGTGTGAATCA